CGAGACGACCACGCGCCTTAGGCGGCGGCGGAGACAGCCGCCCGCCCGCTTAGCCGCCCACGAGGCGGCACACGAGACGAGGCTCGAGTAGACGAAGAGCGAGACGGGCTTACTCGAGGCGGCGGCAGAGACAGCCGCCCGCCACGCCACCCCGCCCACGAGGCGGCACACGAGACGAGGCTCGAGTAGACGAAGAGCGAGACGAGGCGCACTCGAGGCGGCGGCAGAGACAGCCGCCCGCCCGCCACGCCGCCCACGAGGCGGCACACGAGACGAGGCTCGAGTAGACGAAGAGCGAGACGAGGCGCACTCGAGGCGGCGGCAGAGACAGCCGCCCGCCCGCCACGCCGCCCACGAGGCGGCACACGAGACGAGGCTCGAGTAGACGAAGAGCGAGACGAGGCTCACTCGAGGCGGCGGCAGAGACAGCCGCCCGCCCGCCACGCCGCCCACGAGGCGGCACACGAGACGAGGCTCGAGTAGACGAAGAGCGAGACGAGGCGCACTCGAGGCGGCGGCAGAGACAGCCGCCCGCCCGCTACGCCGCCCACGAGGCGGCACACGAGACAAGGCTCGAGTAGACAAAGAGCGAGACGAGGCGCACTCGAGGCGGAGGCAGAGACAGCCGCCCGCCCGCCACGCCGCCCACGAGGCGGCACACGAGACGAGGCTCGAGTAGACGAAGAGCGAGACGAGGCTCACTCGAGGCGGCGGCGGAGACAGCCGCCCGCCCGCCACGCCGCCCACGAGGCGGCACACGAGACGAGGCTCGAGTAGACGAAGAGCGAGACGAGGCGCACTCGAGGCGGCGGCAGAGACAGCCGCCCGCCCGCTACGCCGCCCACAAGGCGGCACACGAGACGAGGCTCGAGTAGACAAAGAGCGAGACGAGGCGCACTCGAGGCGGAGGCAGAGACAGCCGCCCGCCCGCCGCCCCGCCCACGAGGCGGCACACGAGACGAGGCTCGAGTAGACGAAGAGCGAGACGAGGCTCACTCGAGGCGGCAGCAGAGACAGCCGCCCGCCCGCCACGCCGCCCATGAGGTGGCACACGAGGGGCTCGAGTAGACGAAGAGCGAGACGAGGCTCACTCGAGGCGGCGGCAGAGACAGCCGCGCGCCACGCCACCCCGCCCACGAGGCGGCACACGAGACGAGGCTCGAGTAGACGAAGAGCGAGACGGGCTTACTCGAGGCGGCGGCAGAGACAGCCGCCCGCCTGCCACGCCGCCCACGAGGCGGCACACGAGACGAGGCTCGAGTAGACGAAGAGCGAGACGAGGCTCACTCGAGGCGGCGGCAGAGACAGCCGCCCGCCCGCCACGCCGCCCACGAGGCGGCACACGAGACGAGGCTCGAGTAGACAAAGAGCGAGACGAGGCGCACTCGACGCGGCGGCAGAGACAGCCGCCCGCCCGCCACGCCGCCCACGAGGCGGCACACGAGACGAGGCTCGAGTAGACGAAGAGCGAGACGAGGCGCACTCGAGGCGGCGGCGGAGACAGCCGCCCGCCCGCCACGCCGCCCACGAGGCGGCACACGAGACGAGGCTCGAGTAGACGAAGAGCGAGACGAGGCGCACTCGAGGCGGCGGCAGAGACAGCCGCCCGCCCGCTACGCCGCCCACGAGGCGGCACACGAGACGAGGCTCGAGTAGACAAAGAGCGAGACGAGGCGCACTCGAGGCGGAGGCAGAGACAGCCGCCCGCCCGCCACGCCGCCCACGAGGCGGCACACGAGACGAGGCTCGAGTAGACGAAGAGCGAGACGAGGCTCACTCGAGGCGGCGGCGGAGACAGCCGCCCGCCCGCCACGCCGCCCACGAGGCGGCACACGAGACGAGGCTCGAGTAGACGAAGAGCGAGACGAGGCTCACTCGAGGCGGCGGCAGAGACAGCCGCCATCCACGCCACGCCGCCCACGAGGCGGCACACGAGACGAGGCTCGAGTAGACGAAGAGCGAGACGAGGCTCACTCGAGGCGGCGGCAGAGACAGCCGCCCGCCACGCCACGCCGCCCACGAGGCGGCACACGAGACGAGGCTCGAGTAGACGAAGAGCGAGACGAGGCTCACTCGAGGCGGCGGCAGAGACAGCCGCCCGCCACGCCGCCCACGAGGCGGCACACGAGACGAGGCTCGAGTAGACGAGGAGCGAGACGAGGCTCACTCGAGGCGGCGGCAGAGGCAGCCGCCCGCCACGCCACGCCGCCCACGAGGGCGGCACACGAGACGAGGCTCGAGTAGACGAAGAGCGAGACGAGGCTCACTCGAGGCGGCGGCGGAGACAGCCGCCATCCACGCCACGCCGCCCACGAGGCGGCACACGAGACGAGGCTCGAGTAGACGAAGAGCGAGACGAGGCTCACTCGAGGCGGCGGCGGAGACAGCCGCCCGAGACGAGGCTCACTCGAGGCGGCGGCGGAGACAGCCGCCCGAGACGAGGCGCACTCGAGGCAGAGGCAGAGACAGCCGCCCGCCCGCCACTCCGCCCACGAGGCGGCACACGAGACGAGGCTCGAGTAGACGAAGAGCGAGACGAGGCTCACTCGAGGCGGCGGCAGAGACAGCCGCCCGCCCGCCATGCCGCCCACGAGGCGGCACACGAGACGAGGCTCGAGTAGACGAAGAGCGAGACGAGGCTCACTCGAGGCGGAGGCAGAGACAGCCGCCCGCCCGCTACGCCGCCCACGAGGTGGCACACGAGACGAGGCTCGAGTACACAAAGCGCGAGACAAGGCGCACTCGAGGCGGAGGCAGAGACAGCCGCCCGCCCGCCACCCCGCCCACGAGGCGGCACACGAGACGAGGCAAGAGTAGACAAAGAGCGACACGAGGCTCACTCGAGGCGGCGGCAGAGACAGCCGCCGGCCACGCCACGCCGCCCACAAGGCGGCACACGAGACGTGGCTCGAGTAGACAAAGAGCGAGACAAGGCGCACTCGAGGCGGCGGCAGAGACAGCCGCCCGCCCGCCACGCCGCCCACGAGGCGGCACACGAGACGAGGCTCGAGTAGACGAAGAGCGACACGAGGCTCACTCGAGGCGGAGGCAGAGACAGCCGCCCGCCACGCCACCCCGCCCATAAGGCGGCACACGAGACGAGGCTCGAGTAGACGAAGAGCGAGACGAGACGCACTCGAGGCGGCGGCAGAGACAGCCGCCCGCCCGCCACGCCGCCCACGAGGCGGCACACGAGACGAGGCTCGAGTAGACGAAGAGCGAGACGAGGCTCACTCGAGGCCGCGGCAGAGACAGCCGCCCGCCCGCCACGCCGCCCACGAGGCGGCACACGAGACAAGGCTCGAGTAGACAAAGAGCGAGACGAGGCGCACTCGAGGCGGAGGCAGAGACAGCCGCCCGCCCGCTACGCCGCCCACGAGGTGGCACACGAGACGAGGCTCGAGTACACAAAGAGCGAGACAAGGCGCACTCGAGGCGGAGGCAGAGACAGCCGCCCGCCCGCCACCCCGCCCACGAGGCGGCACACGAGACGAGGCTCGAGTAGACAAAGAGCGAGACGAGGCGCACTCGAGGCGGCGGCAGAGACAGCCGCCCGCCCGCCACGCCGCCCACGAGGCGGCACACGAGACGAGGCTCGAGTAGACGAAGAGCGAGACGAGGCTCACTCGAGGCGGCGGCGGAGACAGCCGCCCGCCCGCCACGCCGCCCACGAGGCGGCACACGAGACGAGGCTCGAGTAGACGAAGAGCGAGACGAGGCGCACTCGAGGCGGCGGCAGAGACAGCCGCCCGCCCGCTACGCCGCCCACGAGGCGGCACACGAGACGAGGCTCGAGTAGACAAAGAGCGAGACGAGGCGCACTCGAGGCGGAGGCAGAGACAGCCGCCCGCTCGCCACCCCGCCCACGAGGCGGCACACGAGACGAGGCTCGAGTAGACAAAGAGCGAGACGAGGCGCACTCGAGGCGGCGGCAGAGACAGCCGCCCGCCCGCCACGCCGCCCACGAGGCGGCACACAAGACGAGGCTCGAGTAGACGAAGAGCGAGACGAGGCGCACTCGAGGCGGCGTCGGAGGCAGCCGCCCGCCCGCCACGCCGCCCACGAGGCGGCACACGAGACGAGGCTCGAGTAGACGAAGAGCGAGACGAGGCGCACTCGAGGCGGCGGCAGAGACAGCCGCCCGCCCGCCACGCCGCCCATGAGGCGGCACACGAGACGAGGCTCGAGTAGACAAAGAGCGACACGAGGCTCACTCGAGGCGGCGGCAGAGACAGCCGCCGGCCACGCCACGCCGCCCACAAGGCGGCACACGAGACGAGGCTCGAGTAGACGAATAGCGACACGAGGCTCACACGAGGCGGCGGCAGAGACAGCCGCCCGCCCGCCACGCCGCCCACGAGGCGGCACACGAGGCGAGGCTCGAGTAGACGAAGAGCGAGACGAGGCTCACTCGAGGCGGCGGCAGAGACAGCCGCCCGCCACGCCACCCCGCCCACGAGGCGGCACACGAGACGAGGCTCGAGTAGACAAAGAGCGAGACGAGGCTCACTCGAGGCGGCGGCAGAGACAGCCGCCCGCGCGCTACGCCGCCCACAATGCGGCACACGAGACGAGGCTCGAGTAGACTCAGAGCGAGACGAGGCTCACTCGAGGCGGCGGCAGAGACAGCCGCCGGCCACGCCACGCCGCCCACGAGGCGGCACACGAGACGAGGCTCGAGTAGACGAAGAGCGAGACGAGGCTCACTCGAGGCGGCAGCAGAGACAGCCGCCCGCCCGCCACGCCGCCCACGAGGCGGCACACGAGACGAGGCTCGAGTAGACGAAGAGCGAGACGAGGCTCACTCGAGGCGGCGGCAGAGACAGTCGCCCGCCCGCCACGCCGCCCACGAGGCGGCACACAAAAGGTAAGTGTACGCGGAGCAGCTGAGTAGATACAGCGAATCCTTTGTGTTCACACCTGCAAGAGCAGGTCGGTCCAGATGTCGGGGTAGCGCAGCTGTGAGCGCTGTCAGAGCGGTGTTTCGACACCGATATCGTTCAAGGAGAACGCTGATTCAAAATCCGCTGTTCACACTTCACAGGTAAGTGTAAGTGGAGCAGCTGAGTAGATATAGCGAATCCTTTGTGTTCACACCTGCAAGAGCAGGTGTGAACCGATTTCGGCCTTAGCGGCGGTATATGCCAAACACATACTATGGCTGAGGTGCCGCCGGCCGTGGGTCGGCGGACGAGCGCCTTCAATGCGGCTTGCCTCGCTGTTGGGGCCATCGGGCTGTCCATCAGCGCGTTTGCATATCGCGACAAGCTGGCCGCCTCATGCGGTGCTGCGCAAGATGCGCTCACAGAGCACGGTGAGAATCTTCTGATCTACCTGAGTGAGGTGGCGGACACCGTGTTCCAGAAGATTCACCAGCAGTTTGCGTTTGCGTCGCCCAACGAGGTGCTCGAGGGCCGCGTGCGCCAGACCCTCACGCGCAAGACGCCGCCAGCCAACAAGCAAACCCGGCCGCGGGACGAAGACGGAAACTGGGAGAATGACCCAATGCACGATGGGGTGCAGCACCGCGCGCGGCGCACGCGTCACTCCAGCCCGGAGCCAGCCGAGTCGCCCGCCGCATCCGCGTCCGTGGCTGTGGCTTCGCTAGCTTCCTCACTTGCCTCGCGACCGGGCGCGGGCGCAACCATCGGCTCCGAGTCGGCATTGCAGTTCGATGCTGCCATGGAAGAGGGCGTCCCTGCCCGTGACCTCGGAAGTGGGGCTGCCGGCGAATGGCCCTGAGCGCACGCTTGCCCAGCGCTTCCAGTCCGATCCGGCCGGTCTCATCGGCGCAACGCTCAAGAGCACGTGGGTCGACGAGACATACATGTGCGAAGTGGACATGATCCGCAAGTGCGGCGACAAGTACCTCGCTGGCGTGGTGTACGAGGCGGACGGCGTCTACCAATGGGAGAAGATCGGCTTGCCGCCCTACAACCACACGCTCGTGTCGGAGCCCAAGGAGAAGTGGCTACGCAACGGCAGCGAGTATGTCGACGCGAAAGTGCTCATCAAGCACGAGAGCAACTTCTACCTCGGGGTGGTGATGGCGTGGCTGCCTCCGTCGGCAGGTGACGACACCACGCTTTACAAGGTGTACCACGAGGGGGATGGCGACTACGAGGACCTCGACCACGACGAGCTCATGCACGCGATCGCATTGTACAAGGAGCGCATGTAAGCGCTATTGACGGCAAGCTGTGGCATGCGGACCATGCGATTACCGCTGGCGCACTGCCGAGCGCGACGCTGCCAGACGTGTCGCACTTTAGGTTCCTGCGTCCTCCGCTCGGCGGCATCGTTGGGAGGTAGGGCAGATAGTCTGATAGACTCTCTCTTGATAGTCACCGTGCTGGGGACGAGGATGGAGGCTGCGCTAGCTAAGTTGTTGACTCAGTGACTCTTCATCACTGCTCTAAGTTCGTTTCAACTTCTGAACGATGGCCGTCCAGCCGCATCCTTAACTCCGCGGCGCTCCCATCGGCGCGGCCGCGCCCTTCGACCACGCGCTTGGGGCTTGGTGCCAATGCCAACTGAGAGCTGTAGGGGTCGGGACGCGGGAGATTTGGTGTCGGCCCAGAAAGCAGAATAGCCCGTGTGCAGTGTGCACGCCTGTTTGCTCTCCACGCATCCATGCTTAGAACACACGAGCAGCGCCACGACTCACAAAAGAACGTCCAAGCGCACTTGCGATCTCTACTTACTCTGCATACTCTTAGCAGTTTTCTTGGATCTTATCGTCCTGTGGTGGCGCGCGCAAGGTCTCACCGCCGCCTCTCTCAGCACGCGGTGGCGCAGGCCGCGGTCGGGGCGGTCTGGATCACGCATGACACGGCGCAGGCGTCGCGGGTGGCCACCCGCATTGTGGAGTTCCAGTTAGTGGCCTGCGATGCTCTATGCTGACCGCGCCCACGGCTCTACTACGGTTCATCCTCGTCGAACTACTTTTCGCGCTGAATCACGCTCTCCTCTCCAGTGCTACTTGTGTAAACGACGCCGCGCCGCCGCGGCCCAAAGCAGGCGACGCCACACCACGCGATCGTGTCCCACGAACCTTAGCGCCGTGGTGCCGTCGTTGACTTGCGGCGTGCTCTGCGTGTGTCTCTGCGTGAGAGCGCGGGTTGATGTGCACTTCCATCTATGAGCAAGCCGCCTCCGCCATCGCTGTGACCTCGCGTGCGCAGGGCGGGCTCGCGGCCGCCGGCCCGGCGGCGGTGTGTGGGGGCCTCGCCCCAGAGGCGCTCGGGCAGCACCTCGTGGCGCGCGTAACCCTCGGGCTGGAGCAGCTCCCGCTTCCCCAGGAGTGCCGCACAGAGGTTCCCCCGGCGGTGATGGCGTTGTACGACGCGTGCGCGGCGGCGACGGCGAAGCGCTCGGCACCAAAGGCCATAGGTCGACTTCGCACAGGATCTCACGACGTGATCAAGACCATAAACGGCGAAGCCCCGATGGACCTTAATGGCACTCAAGGCGGCTTTCGCCGACTACATCCAGTTCGCCATTACGTGCCTGCCAGCGGCGACGGGTGCGGCGACTGGCGAGGTGACAGCGATGCCAAGGGCGGCGGTGGGAATGTATGAGGGGGAGCGCAACGTGGCAGGTGAGAGGGACGGGCGCGGCGTCCTCTGCGCTCTGGCATGCCAGCGGCAGCATCTACGATGGCGAGTTCAAGGTGAGCAGGAGGGGCATCGTTTGATTACATGTACATGTAGGAGAGCTTGAAGGGGGGCGGTCACACACGATGTGTTGGGCGAGCCGCCCACTTCAAACGCACGCTCTCCGCGCCCGTGCGCGCCGCTCGCGCTCGCCCCGCGGAAAGACTCTTTGGACTTTGGCAAAGACTCCTCCCGCCGCGAGGCCGAGGGGAAGGGGTGGGCGCCCGCCGCCCCGCGGTCCGCGCACCGCGGAGGCCCCACGGGCCACGGCAGCGGCCGCCCGCCGCCGCCGTGATGCCTTAGTGTAGTGGGGGAAATGGTCATTTTTGAATGAATGCCTCTCGCACTGCGCACGGGCATTTGCCCCGGACGCGTCAGCATGTACCATGGGCGGATCCGTGGCAGCGCAGGAGGAGCCAACGCGGGGGCGGACTCGCCCGTTATCGGCCGCGTTGGCCGGGCCTGGAGGCATGTTGATGGCGTGCGCGTGGCCCGCCGCGCCGGAGAGGGAGCGGACCGAGCCGAGGGAGGAGGTGCGCGAGAGGCGGCTCGGCTGCCTGTGCAGGACGGGGTCGAGAAGAGTTGGCGGCAAGGCTCCGAGGGAAGGGGAGGGAGGGGGGGGGGCAGGGGCGGCGCGGTGTGTCAAGAGAGCGGCGGCGGCCGCCAGGGAAGGAGGAGGGAGAGGGGGAGGGGAGGCGAGCGGGAAGGGCCGAGCAGGGAGGAGCAGAGACGGCGACAGACGCAAGCAGGCGGCGCAGGGGAGGCTCGTCTACCGTGGGCTCTGGCCGCGGCTGTCGCCCCAAGAGCTCGGCCCAAAGGGCGAGCAGAGGGAGCGGAGGTCCGAGATTGACTTGGACACCTGGAGTGGGGCAGGGGGGGGCGTGGGGGGGCGGTGAGGCGAGCCTTTTTTTAGCTTTGCGGCGGCGGCGGGAGGGGAGGTAGCAAGGACGGCGGCGGGAGGGGAGAGGACAGGGTCAAGGCAGGAGCGAGCCGGGAGGAGGGGGAGAGGAGAGAGGCAGCAGGGAAGGCGAAGGAGCAGGAGAGGCGAGGGAGGCAGCAGAGGGGGCGAGGGAGGCAGCAGGGGGGGCGAGGGAGGCAGCAGGGAGGGCGAGGGAGGCAGCAGGGGGGGCGAGAGAGGCAGGCTCAGGGCGAGAGACGGGCTGAGGCGAGGCGGTGCGGTCGCACCCATAGGAGGGAGAAACGCGACTCGCAGCGAGAGAGCGAGACGGCGGAGCCGCCTCGGCTGGAGGGAGGCCGCGACACCCCCTTGCGCTGCGGCACCATCTCGGTCAGCTTGAGGCTCGACAGCTCCTGCTCCTGCTCCTGCTCCTCCGATTTGTCGCAGGCTAAGGCTGCGCCGCGTCGGCGGGCGCCGCTGGCGGAGCTGGCGTGGCGCTTGGCCGGCGGGGGCGGGGAGAAGAAGCGGCGCTTCTTCTCCTGCCGCCCCTCCATGCACTGCTCCAGCGCCTCGTGCGACGGAATCGCGGCGAGGGAAATAAAGTTGAGGTGCTCCGCCGACTCGGCGTGGTGCCTCCTCGCCTCGCGCACGCTGTAGCGTGCGTCGCGCCCATGCACTCTTGGCGGTGCCATGAGGCCCATGCCACCACGCCTTAGCCTCAGCGGCGACGGTAAGGCGAGGGGCCCACCTGGGTTTGCACCTACTGCGTTTGCGACGAGAGACGCCATGCCATCGCCGTTGCTGGGCCGGCGAGGAGACCGGCGGACGGCGGCGTGGAGATCGGCCGTTGGAGGCCCCTTTGGGCTGTCGAAGGGCGGCATGCGCAGCCGCGGAGGGCCGCCGTGCCTGGGTTCGTGCGAGCCGCACCGACTCGTTGATTGTGTCTGAACCGACGTGGGCTGTTGCTCGCTCTCGGTTGGAGATAGAGCTCTACCCGGGAGCTCTACAGGAATTCCTGTTTCCAGAAATTGATCCCGACTCACAATCGGCACGAAATTAGGGCAATTTTTTCCGTTGCTGGTAGCCCCCCCAAAACAGGCGCGCGCAGCGCGCCCAGGGGCGCCGCAGGAGGCGCCCCAAGCGGCGCGGAGCGCCGCCGCAGGCGGCGGACAGCAGGAGCGCGAAATAAAACGCCATTTTGGTTCCGCGGTTTTGCCAGTAACATTGAAATCCGGTACATCGATCCCGAAGGCGAGGTCGCGTACTACCACGAGCCACACGAGGCGGGGGGGCCCAACTACGCGGTGCTCGGTCCTACCGGCTTTGGCGATCGCGGCACTTTCTACGGTTGGCTCAAGGACACCCTCGGTTGGGTCACCTCGCCTGCGCGCCCGCTCTCGCCTGCGCCGGTCGCGTCGCACTTTGCCTCGGCCGACGCGTTTCGCGCAGAGCAAGCGCGATGGTTTCACGACCATGGCGACGGCTGCGAGCTACAGGGCTCGCGAGCCGATCAGAACAGGCTCTTCGATCGGCTGCGCGATAAGCTCCTTGGCTATCGACGCCACCGCGCATCGGCTGCGCGATAAGCTCCTTGGCTATCGACGCCACCGCGCGAATCCGTCGGGAACGACACGCGCGGACATGCGAGCTCGCAAGTCCACTGTCCAGTTCGATCCACAAGAGGCGGAGAGTGTGAGCGCCACTTACTAGGCTAGACACCCTTGCAGGTGTGCGCAGATGTGTGTTCGTTGCATGCACAGCAAAACTACGAGGAGATGGTATCGGGGCTCGTCACGAGTAGAGCCGTACCCAGGGGGAACTCGGGTGACGGGTGTCGGGACAGGTCATGCAAAATAAATCTCAGAATAAGCGATCGGTTCTCTATCGTCGATGTGCCAAAGTCAGCGCTGCAGAGCTGCGAGAAGCGATGGGCGCCCCTCTAAACGCCCATAGCGCCACCGCCTCGCTTGCCCGAGCCGCTCCGACTGGAGGGCGCTGCGCTCGCCCGGCATCGAGCCGGTGCACCACCCGCCCCCAAACGCGGTCCTGGACCTCCTCACGGCCTCCCGCCCGCCGCGCCGCCGCCACCTTCCTTGGCTTTGGTTTCACAACCCGTTTGGTCCTCGCTCTGGTACGGCTCACCAGATGCGACAGGAGGGCTAACATACGGAATAAGACTGCCAAGAGGGTGCTCTAGGCCGCGAAGAGACCACGCGGTCTCCCTACTCATGCGCGGCTAGCAGGAGTGTGCCGAAAATGAGTATCTGGCCCAGCCGACGGGTAACACAGGTCATGAGTGAGGCCACGCCAGCTGCCTCTGGTGCTCCGTGTGATCGGTGGGTTTACTTGTTTCAAGCAGGCGCCTCCATACCCCATGTATCGTAGTCTTTGTTAGTATCGAGGTCTCGTGAGTTTTGGCACTGATAAATTCGCCCGACTCGCGGCGCGCCGAGCCAGGCCACGGCGCTCGGCCTGCTGAGAGAAGCCCTTCCCCGACGGCAGTGACAATTTACCCGGGAGACAGCCGCCCGCCCGCCACGCCGCCCACAAGGCGGCACACGAGACGAGGCTCGAGTAGACAAAGAGCGAGACGAGGCTCACTCGAGGCGGCGGCAGAGACAGCCGCCCGCCCGCCACACCGCCCACAAGGCGGCAAACGAGACGAGGCTCGCGAGTAGACGAAGAGCGAGACGAGGCTCACTCGAGGCGGCGGCAGAGACAGCCGCCCGCCACGCCACCCCGCCCACGAGGCGGCACACGAGACGAGGCTCGAGTAGACGAAGAGCGAGACGAGGCTCACTCGAGGCGGCGGCAGAGACAGCCGCCCGCCATGCCACGCCGCCCACGAGGCGGCACACGAGACGAGGCTCGAGTAGACGAAGAGCGAGACGAGGCGCACTCGAGGCGGCGGCAGAGACAGCCGCCCGCCCGCCACGCCGCCCATGAGGCGGCACACGAGACGAGGCTCGAGTAGACGAAGAAAAAGACGAGGCTCACTCGAGGCGGCGGCGGAGACAGCCGCCCGCCCGCCACGCCGCCCACGAGGCGGCACACGAGACGAGGCAAGAGTAGACAAAGAGCGACACGAGGCTCACTCGAGGCGGCGGCAGAGACAGCCGCCCGCCACGCCACGCCGCCCACGAGGTGGCACACGAGACGAGGCTCGAGTAGACGAAGAGCGACACGAGGCTCACTCGAGGCGGCGTCGGAGACAGCCGCCCGCCTGCCACGCCGCCCACGAGGCGGCACACGAGACGAGGCTCGAGTAGACAAAGAGCGAGACGAGGCTCACTCGAGGCAGCGGCGGAGACAGCCGCCCGCCCGCCACGCCGCCCACAAGGCGGCACACGAGACGAGGCTCGAGTAGACGAAGAGCGAGACGAGGCTCACTCGAGGCGGCGGCAGAGACAGCCGCCCGCCCGCCACACCGCCCACAAGGCGGCAAACGAGACGTGGCGCGCGAGTAGACGAAGAGCGAGACGAGGCTCACTCGAGGCGGCGGCAGAGACAGCCGCCCGCCACGCCACCCCGCCCACGAGGCGGCACACGAGACGAGGCTCGAGTAGACGAAGAGCGAGACGAGGCGCACTCGAGGCGGCGGCAGAGACAGCCGCCCGCCATGCCACGCCGCCCACGAGGCGGCACACGAGACGAGGCTCGAGTAGACGAAGAGCGAGACGAGGCGCACTCGAGGCGGCGGCAGAGACAGCCGCCCACCCGCCACGCCGCCCACGAGGCGGCACACGAGACGAGGCTCGAGTAGACGAAGAGCTAGACAGGCTCACTCGAGGCGGCGGCAGAGACAGCCGCCCGCGCGCCACGCCGCCCGCGAGGCGGCACACGAGACGAGGCTCGAGTAGACAAAGAGCGAGACGAGGCTCACTCGAGGCGGCGGCAGAGGCAGCCGCCCGCCCGCCACGCCGCCCACGAGGCGGCACACGAGACGAGGCTCGAGTAGACGAAGAGCGAGACGAGGCTCACTCGAGGCGGCGGCAGAGACAGCCGCCCGCCCGCCACCCCTCCCACGAGGCGGCACACGAGACGAGGCTTGAGTAGACGAAGAGCGAGACGAGGCTCACTCGAGGCGGCGGCAGAGACAGCCGCCCGCCCGCCACGCCGCCCACGAGGCGGCACACGAGGCGAGGCAAGAGTAGACAAAGAGCGAGACGAGGCTCACTCGAGGCGGCGGCAGAGACAGCCGCCCGCCACGCCACCCCGCCCACGAGGCGGCACACGAGACGAGGCTTGAGTAGACGAAGAGCGAGACGAGGCTCACTCGAGGCGGCGGCAGAGACAGCCGCCCGCCCGCCACGCCGCCCACGAGGCGGCACACGAGACGAGGCTCGAGTAGACAAAGAGCGAGACGAGGCTCACTCGAGGCGGCGGCAGAGACAGCCGCCCGCCCGCCACGCCGCCCACGAGGCGGCACACGAGACGAGGCTCGAGTAGACAAAGAGCGAGACGAGGCGCACTCGAGGCGGAGGCAGAGACAGCCGCCCGCCCGCCACGCCGCCCACGAGGCGGCACACGAGACGAGGCTCGAGTAGACGAAGAGCGAGACGAGGCTCACTCGAGGCGGCGGCAGAGACGGCCGCCCGCCCGCCACGCCGCCCACGAGGTGGCACACGAGGCGTGGCTCGAGTAGACGAAGAGCGAGACGAGGCTCACTCGAGGCGGCGGCAGAGACAGCCGCCCGCCACGCCACCCCGCCCACGAGGCGGCACACGAGACGAGGCTCGAGTAGACGAAGAGCGAGACGAGGCGCACTCGAGGCGGCGGCAGAGACAGCCGCCCGCCCGCCACGCCGCGCACGAGGCGGCACACGAGGCGAGGCTCGAGTAGACGAAGAGCGAGACGAGGCTCACTCGAGGCGGCGGCGGAGGCAGCCGCCCGCCCGCCACGCCGCCCACGAGGTGGCACACGAGACGAGGCTCGAGTAGACGAAGAGCGAGACGAGGCTCACTCGAGGCGGCGGCGGAGGCAGCCGCCCGCCAGCCACGCCGCCCACGAGGCGGCACACGAGACGAGGCTCGAGTAGACGAAGAGCGAGACGAGGCTCACTCGAGGCGGCGGCGGAGACAGCCGCCCGCCCGCCACGCCGCCCACGAGGCGGCACACGAGACGAGGCTCGAGTAGACGAAGAGCGAGACGAGGCTCACTCGAGGCGGCGGCAGAGACAGCCGCCCGCCACGCCACGCCGCTCACGAGGTGGCACACGAGACGAGGCTCGAGTAGACGAAGAGCGAGACGAGGCTCACTCGAGGCGGCCTCGAGGAGACGAAGAGCGAGACGAGGCTCACTCGAGGCGGGAGGCAGAGACAGCCGCCCGCCACGCCACGCCGCCCACGAGGCGGCACACGAGACGAGGCTCGAGTAGACGAAGAACGAGACGAGGCTCACTCGAGGCGGCGGCAGAGACAGCCGCCCGCCACGCCACGCCGCCCACAAGGCGGCACACGAGACGAGGCTCGAGTAGACGAAGAGCGAGACGAGGCGCACTCGAGGCGGCGGCAGAGACAGCCGCCAACCCGCCACGCCGCCCACGAGGCGGCACACGAGACGAGGCTCGAGTAGACGAAGAGCGAGACGAGGCTCACTCGAGGCGGCGGCAGAGACGGCCGCCCGCGCGCTACGCCGCCCACGAGGCGGCACACGAGACGAGGCTCGAGTAGACAAAGAGCGAGACGAGGCTCACTCGAGGCGGCGGCAGAGGCAGCCACCGGCCACGCCACGCCGCCCACGAGGCGGCACACGAGACGAGGCTCGAGTAGACAAAGAGCGAGACGAGGCTCACTCGAGGCGGCGGCAGAGACAGCCGCCCGCCCGCCACGCCGCCCACGAGGCGGCACACGAGACGAGGCTCGAGTAGACGAAGGGCGAGACGAGGCTCACTCGAGGCGGCGGCAGAGACAGCCGCCCGCCCGCTACGCCGCCCACGAGGCGGCACACGAGACGAGGCTCGAGTAGACGAAGAACGAGACGAGGCTCACTCGAGGCGGCGGCAGAGACAGCCGCCCGCCACGCCACGCCGCTCACGAGGTGGCACACGAGACGAGGCTCGAGTAGACGAAGAGCGAGACGAGGCTCACTCGAGGCGGCCTCGAGGAGACGAAGAGCGAGACGAGGCTCACTCGAGGCGGGAGGCAGAGACAGCCGCCCGCCACGCCACGCCGCCCACGAGGCGGCACACGAGACGAGGCTCGAGTAGACGAAGAACGAGACGAGGCGCACTCGAGGCGGCGGCAGAGACAGCCGCCCGCCACGCCACGCCGCCCACAAGGCGGCACACGAGACGAGGCTCGAGTCGACAAAGAGCGAGACGAGGCGCACTCGAGGCGGCGGCAGAGACAGCCGCCAACCCGCCACGCCGCCCACGAGGCGGCACACGAGACGAGGCTCGAGTAGACGAAGAGCGAGACGAGGCTCACTCGAGGCGGCGGCAGAGACGGCCGCCCGCGCGCTACGCCGCCCACGAGGCGGCACACGAGACGAGGCTCGAGTAGACAAAGAGCGAGACGAGGCTCACTCGAGGCGGCGGCAGAGGCAGCCGCCGGCCACGCCACGCCGCCCACGAGGCGGCACACGAGACGAGGCTCGAGTAGACAAAGAGCGAGACGAGGCTCACTCGAGGCGGAGGCGGAGACAGCCGCCCGCCCGCCACGCCGCCCACGAGGCGGCACACGAGACGAGGCTCGAGTAGACGAAGAGCGAGACGAGGCTCACTCGAGGCGGCGGCAGAGACAGCCGCCCGCCCCCCACGCCGCCCACGAGGTGGCACACGAGGCGTGGCTCGAGTAGACGAAGAGCGAGACGAGGCTCACTCGAGGCGGCGGCAGAGACGGCCGCCCGCGCGCTACGCCGCCCACGAGGCGGCACACGAGACGAGGCTCGAGTAGACGAAGGGCGAGACGAGGCTCACTCGAGGCGGAGGCAGAGACAGCCGCCCGCCCGCCACGCCGCCCACGAGGCGGCACACGAGACGAGGCTCGAGTAGACGAAGAGCGAGACGAGGCTCACTCGAGGCGGCGGCAGAGACAGCCGCCCGCCCCCCACGCCGCCCACGAGGTGGCACACGAGGCGTGGCTCGAGTAGACGAAGAGCGAGACGAGGCTCACTCGAGGCGGCGGCAGAGACGGCCGCCCTTGCGCTACGCCGCCCACGAGGCGGCACACGAGACGAGGCTCGAGTAGACAAAGAGCGAGACGAGGCTCACTCGAGGCGGCGGCAGAGGCAGCCGCCGGCCACGCCACGCCGCCCACGAGGCGGCACACGAGACGAGGCTCGAGTAGACAAAGAGCGAGACGAGGCTCACTCGAGGCGGCGGCAGAGACAGCCGCCCGCCCGCCACGCCGCCCACGAGGCGGCACACGAGACGAGGCTCGAGTAGACGAAGGGCGAGACGAGGCTCACTCGAGGCGGCGGCAGAGACAGCCGCCCGCCCGCTACGCCGCCCACGAGGTGGCACACGAGACGAGGCTCGAGTAGACAAAGAACGAGACGAGGCTCACTCGAGGCGGAGGCAGAGACAGCCGCCCGCCCGCCACGCCGCCCACGAGGCGGCACACGAGACGAGGCTCGAGTAGACGAAAGCGAGACGAGGCTCACTCGAGGCGGCGGCAGAGACAGCCGCCCGCCCGCCACGCCGCCCACGAGGCGGCACACGAGGCGTGGCTCGAGTAGACGAAGAGCGAGACGAGGCTCACTCGAGGCGGCGGCAGAGACAGCCGCCCGCCACGCCACCCCGCCCACGAGGCGGCACACGAGACGAGGCTCGAGTAGACGAAGAGCGAGACGAGGCGCACTCGAGGCGGCGGCAGAGACAGCCGCCCGCCCGCCACGCCGCCCAGGAGGTGGCCCATGAGACGAGGCTCGAGTAGACGAAGAGCGAGACGAGGCCCCCTCGAGGCGGGGGGGGAGACAGCCGCCCGCCCGCCACGCCGCCCAGGAGGGGGCACACGAGACGAGGCTCGAGTAGACGAAGAGCGAGACGAGGCTCCCTCGAGGCGGCGGCAGAGACAGCCGCCCGCCCGCCACGCCGCCCAGGAGGTGGCCCACGAGGCGTGGCTCGAGTAGACGAAGAGCGAGACGAGGCTCACTCGAGGCGGGAGGCAGAGACAGCCGCCCGCCACGCCACCCCGCCCACGAGGCGGCACACGAGACGAGGCTCGAGTAGACGAAGAGCGAGACGAGGCGCACTCGAGGCGGCGGCAGAGACAGCCGCCCGCCCCCCCCCCCCCCGCCACGCCGCGCACGAGGCGGCACACGAGGCGAGGCTCGAGTAGACAAAGAGCGAGACGAGGCTCACTCGAGGCGGCGGCGGAGGCAGCCGCCCGCTCGCCACGCCGCCCACGAGGCGGCACACGAGACGAGGCTCGAGTAGACGAAGAGCGAGACGAGGCTCACTCGAGGCGGCGGCAGAGACAGCCGCCCGCCAGCCACGCCGCCCACGAGGCGGCACACGAGACGAGGCTCGAGTAGACGAAGAGCGAGACGAGGCTCACTCGAGGCGGCGGCGGAGACAGCCGCCCGCCCGCCACGCCGCCCACGAGGCGGCACACGAGACGAGGCTCGAGTAGACGAAGAGCGAGACGAGGCTCACTCGAGGCGGCGGCAGAGACAGCCGCCCGCCACGCCACGCCGCTCACGAGGTGGCACATGAGACGAGGCTCGAGTAGACCAAGAGCGAGACGAGGCGCACTCGAGGCGGCGGCAGAGACGGCTGCCCGCGCGCTACGCCGCCCACGGGGCGGCACACGAGACGAGGCTCGAGTAGACAAAGAGCGAGACGAGGCTCACTCGAGGCGGCGGCAGAGGCAGCCACCGGCCACGCCACGCCGCCCACGAGGCGGCACACGAGACGAGGCTCGAGTAGACAAAGAGCGAGACGAGGCTCACTCGAGGCGGCGGCAGAGACAGCCGCCCGCCCGCCACGCCGCCCACGAGGCGGCACACGAGACGAGGCTCGAGTAGACGAAGGGCGAGACGAGGCTCACTCGAGGCGGCGGCAGAGACAGCCGCCCGCCCGCCACGCCGCCCACGAGGCGGCACACGAGACGAGGCTCGAGTAGACGAAGAACGAGACGAGGCTCACTCGAGGCGGCGGCAGAGACAGCCGCCCGCCACGCCACGCCGCCCACGAGGCGGCACACGAGACGAGGCTCGAGTAGACGAAGAGCGAGACGAGGCTCACTCGAGGCGGCCTCGAGGAGACGAAGAGCGAGACGAGGCTCACTCGAGGCGGGAGGCAGAGACAGCCGCCCGCCACGCCACGCCGCCCACGAGGCGGCACACGAGACGAGGCTCGAGTAGACGAAGAGCGAGACGAGGCTCACTCGAGGCGGCGGCAGAGACAGCCGCCCGCCACGCCACGCCGCCCACAGGGCGGCACACGAGACGAGGCTCGAGTAGACGAAGAGCGAGACGAGGCGCACTCGAGGCGGCGGCAGAGACAGCCGCCAACCCGCCACGCCGCCCACGAGGCGGCACACGAGACGAGGCTCGAGTAGACGAAGAGCGAGACGAGGCTCACTCGAGGCGGCGGCAGAGACGGCCGCCCGCCCGCTACGCCGCCCACGAGGCGGCACACGAGACGAGGCTCGAGTAGACAAAGAGCGAGACGAGGCTCACTCGAGGCGGCGGCAGAGGCAGCCGCCCGCCACGCCACGCCGCCCACGAGGCGGCACACGAGACGAGGCTCGAGTAGACAAAGAGCGAGACGAGGCTCACTCGAGGCGGCGGCAGAGACAGCCGCCCGCCCGCCACTCCGCCCACGAGGCGGCAAACGAGACGAGGCTCGAGTAGACGAAGGGCGAGACGAGGCTCACTCGAGGCGGCGGCAGAGACAGCCGCCCGCCACGCCACGCCGC